CATATGAAGACTTGTTTGAAGACAGTGATACTAATCCTTCAGATACTAATCCTAGGCCCCATATTAACCCTATGGATGTTCAGATGGCAATTCTTCACTGTGCAGATGATTTTGCCAGACAGTATATTTTGTCCAAACTTTCCATTTGCCAGTTTGCACTCCCTCTTCTCATACCTAATCCTTGCAGTTCTCAAATTGAATTCTCTTTCTGGTCTCTCAGTCAAATTAGAAGGAGCTGGCAGGAAGCAAGGAAATCACCAAGAGAGGAGAAGATCAATTGCAAGAATAAGCAGATGTGTCATGTCTCTACCCCCATTGTGTCCTTTATAAGAGTTGGAAATGGCTTCTCAGCTTCCAAATCTCAGATCATGAACTGTCTTCTCAGTAAACGAAAACATGATGTCTTTTTCCACCGACATTGTAGAGGGAGCACCAAAGACTGTCTCTTGATGGAAGGAGTGGTGGAAATCAGCTGGTTCTGCCCTGGAGGGGATGATGAGGACAGATTTGACAACTGTGTGACCTTCACCAATCTCCATGGAGATGCGAAGGAACATAAGAAGCAACTTACCTTCCTGCAGGAGGTCTCTTCTCTCATTGTTGTCCTCATGTCAACTTCTGATGACGATGAAGAAAACCGAAAAATTGTTCGAGATCTGAGTCAGTCACCAAGACCTTTGATTTGCTTACTTGATAACAAAGAACAAACCATGGCCAATAATTCTAATAAAAAAGTGATGATTGGAATCAGGAACCGAAATGAAGCAGAATTAACCGAAGAGCTTGTTACTACAATCAGACGTTTAATGGAGCTCTCAAATATAGCTCTCAGCTTAGAAGACCTTGCCCCAATGGCTCGCAAGCAAGGATTCCTTATTGACGAAGACCAGAGAGAATGCAAGGAAGCCAAAGAAAAGGCAGACGTCCTAATGGCCCTACTGAGAGAACTGAATATATCTCAGGTGAAGGAAAACTTACTTCCCCTTCAGGGACACCTGTGGCATCTTTGGTGTAAAAAGGACAAAGAACTCTATCATCTACGAGAAAAAGGGAATCAAAGCATTGAACAACACAAGAGTGAAATTGAGACAGAAAAACAAAGAATACGGAGGCAACAGTTGACCAGGGCCCTTCCTCTCAATGACTTAATGCAGGCTGTCCTTGAAATTCTCCAAAATAATTCTGAAACTCAAACCACACACTACTTTTTGCAATGGCTAAGTGTGCTTTTGGACAACCTTACTGCAGAACACTTGGAACAACTGAATGAAAAGAAAAACAATTTGTGGTCACGGATACAAACAGAAAAGCAAAAGGCACCAAAGAGCACTGACCTCCAAGGCTGGCAAAAAGAGATAGAAGCTATTTCCACAGAGATTAGTGACTGTACATTGGGAATTGAGCAACTTCTCAGAGAAGTTGGCCAGATCTATGAAGCTCTGGAAGAAGCTTCACCCACTGAAGATACCATTTATCTTTCCCTTCCCCAGATTGCTGCAGATCTGATGATATCTGGGGCTCCCATTGAACTGATGGATGGGGATGCTTCATATGTGCCTCTAAAGTGGGTGGCAGCCCTTTTTGACAAGGTCTCTGAGAAACTTGGAAA